CCACAGAAAAAGCTTAAATACTGATAGCACCATCATAACATTCTTAGCAGCCATGAACAATGAAACCCCTCTAAAGTTTTCAAAATCCATCCAATTCTATCATAGTACTGTATCTCCTGAAGTTAAAATCCACATATTTAGAACCATCTCAGTTAGCAATGAACCATACTCCTTGTTGTTAGCTTTTGAACTTAAGATAAACTCTTGCAATGAACACATATAAACATCTACAGTTCTGCAACACATGCTGACAATATGGTAATAATGAACATTCATACAGCAACACAGATAGTTTTTAGAGTCTGGAAGAGTCTGGAGAGGATAAGTCATATCAGCTGCCTCGCATTTACAGGAGATACAACACCCAAGCTTGCCAGAAATAGAAAGGTTGCATTAATGCCCTCCACATTTACTACAGCTTACAAAAGAAAAGGCTGGGTAGTTGGAAGATAAATACAAAACCCATTTTGTCACTTTCTAGAAGTTCTAGAAGTGAATATATGGCCTCAGAGGTTTATCACAATGATGATCACCTATTCTGAAGGCTGCTTCTGTCATTTATTACCATTCAGTACCAGCTGGACTAAAAAGAAGTTAGCTTAGCCTTGTTCACCAGCCTCTCTAAAGTCTTATTATCAATGCAAAAGAGGACTTATCTCAAACGTCAGAGGCAGGGGTTTGCAGTACACTGAAACATTTTTCTGATACTCTTTTAAAGTAGAAGTATTTTTAATGAGTTACCTTCAGCATCTCTTTTAAATAATAAGTACTCTAAGTACAGCTACATTCAATGAGCTAACACCTCTAGCTAAAGTGACAGAAGAACATAAAAGTTTCATATATTCTGACATAAAGTTAAGTAACTTCACCACTCAAGGCCTAGTTTACCATCCTTTTTCTTTTAGGCACAGTCATGTTTTCCTTTTACCTACCTCTAACCCATAACATGATAAGAAAGAATCTTTCACAAAACTTTTGTTTACATAGTTATGCAAGAACCTAGAGAATAAACAATTTTTCTAGCCACAACTTAGTCTTGCACCTGTGTGTAAAATAAAAGCAAGCAGCTCAGGAAGAGTGCTTCTTTCCAGTTGTTTTAGTTTAATCTGCTGTCCTATCAAAATCCATTAGTTCCCTCATTTTCAATACAATCAATAGGCTAGAATTAAAACACACCTGCAATAGGTTCTATAATTTTCCAATAGAACAGCTTCTGTAATTTCCACCTTCTGTACATTTCCGCTAGTATTCTCTTGAAAATAAAAAAATATAGATTTTTCTGTCCTGATTTCATAATAATGCAGAATCACTAACACAAGTAGACAGATATCATTCCTCTATCATGCTTTTCTCAGTGCTGTCTTATGGGGCTCTGAAGCCTCAGATGTTGATTGCATAGCAAAACCCAGATCAATAGGTGTTCAAACAATTAAGAAAAAAATCAATTGTCACAGACAAGAAATCTTTCTGTCTGTGGTGCTAACTACAGAGATGGGAGGAATCAATTCTTTCCTAAACTATTTTGAAGCAAATTTATACTCAGTTCCTGACTCAGTTCCTGAAAGGCTATTAAATGAAATACCTAGACAAACCACCAGACACAATTAATTTTCTTAATTGCTAGAGGCTCATGAACATCTTTTGAAGACAAATATAGTTCAATCATATAAAGTTCATCAGTCATATAATTAAGTTCATATAAAACTTACAGAGAGTGAAAATGTGAAAGTAATGTTTGAGACTAGTCAGCCTGCATTAAACTTGTGTTTTGCACACTTGTTAACATACATAACTGCTTGCCTCTGAATGAAATGCCCCACAAGAAGCTGCTCAACAAACTGCCATGACAATTTGTATTGGCTTACAGGATCTAGAAACTACACATTTCCCCTTAACACTTTCTTGCTCAGAGAACACAGTAAGTGAACCAATACAACTTCAAGACATCCTATTGTCAGAATCCCACTGCAAATACACGGACATTGATTCATCACTGAAAAAGAAATGTCATAAGACATCACATTACCCATACCTAGGCAACAGCATTGTATTACTTGATTTATGCAGTACTCTCTGCCTTCTGAAGCAGGGATTATTCGCCTTCCAAGGGAAATAAGATTAGGTTTTTGCATGCTCAGGCAGCTTGAATGACATGGCTGTTTACATAATGAATGGCCTACTGGATCAGGCCTGGATCAGTATTGCCACCATGATCATGGCAACATGAAATTATGCTGTGTGAGAGGCACAAGCCTGGCAACGTTCCACCATTCCCCCATACTCACCCAGTATCCACCATTACAACAATTAACAAAATTCTAAAAATTGATCTTTTCAATTCATGAAGCTCACTTCTGTCCATATATTTGTCTAATTATTTACCAAGAGACTGAAATGGAAAGAGTGTTGATGAAACACTATAGTTCTCAAAAGTGTATTTCAAGAAGCTGATGACTGCTTGTCATTACATCTCAACTTAAGATCTTCAAACTTCAGATGGGAGCTGCCCAAGTCATTACTTTTTTCCCAGTATTTAGAAAGAACTTATCCAATAGACCTGTAAATAAGGAGTTCAGAAAAGGTTACGGTTAAAAAAAGTAAATCCACAAATCCCTGGTCATGATGCTTAAGGATTTACATAAGAACTTGCATTGTTTCAAGACGAAACTTGCATCCACCTATTCAATTACAGAAGAGTTTAATGAGCTAATATGCCAGAGACTACAACTGTCTGATATTTATTAAGGTACTGATCAGATGATAAGAAATGTCTAACATAAATGGAACAAAAGTCATTAGATTATTTGTCACCATGCCTGAACCAGTACATTTTGCATGGCTGAAGTCTGTGCTTTTCAACATGGAGAGAGTGTACAGGCTCTGACAGTCAATAAAGATCGATTTTTGTTATGTTTTGGTTTTTTTGTTAAAAAACAGGACCACTAAAAGTCCACAAGCATCATCTACCACACCTATTTAACAGGCCAGAGCATAAATGCAATCCCAGTGTATAAAAGAAAGCAAAATGACATATAGTTCCTGCTTAAAGTTCCCAGATCTTTAGATCATATTATTGTATTTATTATTTTATTAACTTCTTCCTAAAGTTCTCCAATAACCCTTTTTCACTTCATGACAAGTCAACTTACATGACTTGAGAAAAAGAGCTTGAAAGGCAGTTTAAGAACTACGTTTAAATATCAAGCCAATCTAGAAGCATTGAACAAATCAACCTTTTAACAAGAAAACACTTTGCAATAGTCAGCACTATATGTATGTAGAGAATATACTCTTCTAGTTGTTCTAGTACATTGTGGGAAAAGTCAGTGATAGATTTCCCAACAAAATTCGTTTTCAAACAGCCACTTTAATGTTCCAGAGTCTGTTTGGAACATAAAGCCCATGTAAGGCAAGATATCTGTCTCAAGATTCTGAAAGTAAGAAGGGAAGTGACCATTGTGTCTGTTTCTGCACTATACATAGAATACGGAAGTCAAATTATGTATGATACCAAAACAGGATGGTGTTCTGATAACAATTATCCTCAAGTTCTTGTGCTGGGCAAAATAGTCCCCAGTAAATACCTTTTTTTCAGGAGTATGTGATCCATATGTTTTTGACTTTATGAGTGAGCTGATGTTAAGGGCAGTGCTACCTCTAAATAAGCACCAGAAGGTCTGCATTACCCAGTTTATCTAGATGAGTTTTATTCACTGAGATACTACAAACCTGTCCCCTCATACATAAGATACACCAGTAATTTCTGAAACCAGGTTGTAAAATGAAGACTTAATTCTAAAGATATTTCGACAGTGAACTGGGGAGCAGTTCAACTTAGAAGGAGAGTGGCATCCTACTGCAAAGACAAACGGATGTCACATGAGAGCAAATATGCCCCTGTGGCTCTGGTGACAAGTAGCAGAAAAGTCTTCTGAGAGTGTTGTAACATCAACCCCTTTCTACTCAGGCTTCAGTTAAAACCTTTCATAAGGAGAAGTGCTTATTTTGGACTACTTTAGCCACCATCAGGCTATAACCCACACTCCTCAACACACAGCTCCCACCCTTCTCCAAACGCGGGTTCTGCAGTGTCGGGTTTGCTACATTAAGTACAAAGGTTACCAAGGAACAAAGGCTAAAGGTTTAGTAAAATTAAACATTAGCTTAACTGCTCTTATGCTTAAAGCCTAAGATCACCCCCGCCGAAGACAGAAACTCAAGTGGCGGATTTATCCAGCTTCCAGAAGCCTCCCTTCAGACAGGCTCCCGGATTAGCCGAGATCAGCGCCACTCGCTTAGGACACGGGCACTCCTTAGGCATCTTCAGCGGACACCAGCCGTACCCCAGGGAGCAGGAGGGCGCTCCCCGGTGGCACCGCGCACCCAGGATGGCTCCGACCCACCCCAGGACCACCCCCGGGCAGCGGGGCCCGCTCGGGGCAGGGTCCCGCCGGGGCCGGTCAGGGGGAGCCGGGACCCCTCAGCCCCAGCCCCGAGGGTCAATGGAGCCGGAACCCTTCAGCTCCGAGGGTCAGGGGGAGCCGGGACCCCTCAGCCCCAAGCCCCGAGGGTAAAGGAGACCCGGGACCCCTCAGCCCCACCCCGCCCGCCGCTCCAGCAGGGCGTACCCGCGCCGAGGCCCTCGGGACCCTGCAGCGCCTGGGGCACCTCGCCGTTCTCCAGGATGTCGTAGCCCTCGTCGTTCTCGATGCCCGCGATCTCGTTCTCCTGCTGCGCCAGGAAAGCGGCGGCGGGATCCTCCTCGCCACCGTCGGGCATCCCGTTGCCGGCAGGCGGCTGCTGCGGCTGCTGGGCACCGAAGAGCTCCATGTCCGCCATGGGTGAAGGTGGGCAGGCGGCTGCGGCTCCGCACCGCGCCTACGCCGGGCGGCAGCGCGGAAGGGGCGGGGCCGCCCGGCCTGCGCCAATGAGCGCCGAGCATCGCCCGCCTAACCCAATCAAGCGAACGGCTGTGGCGGGGCCTGCGGAGCGCGGGCCAATCAGCGCCCAGAGAGCAGCGAGCGGGCGGGGCGCGGCGCGGCCGCGGCGGCCGGACCGCCGGGTGGTACCGGCGGGCTCCGCTCCATCGGGGTCCGCTCCTGCGGGATCCGATCCTGCGGGCTCCGCTCCATCGGAGTCCGCTCCATCGGGGTCCGATCCTGTGGGATCCGCTCCATCGGGGTCCGCTCCTGCGGGATCCGATCCTGCGGGGTCCGATCCTGCGGGCTCTGCTCCATCGGAGTCCGCTCCATCGGGATGCGCTCCTGCGGGATCCGATCCTGCGGGCTCCGCTCCATCGGGGTCCGCTCCATCGGGGTCCGCTCCATCGGAGTCCGCTCCATCGGGGTCCGCTCCATTGGGATCCGCTCCTGCGGGATGCGCTCCATCGGGGTCCGCTCCATCGGGGTCCGCTCCATCGGAGTCCGCTCCATCGGGGTCCGCTCCATCGGGGTCCGCTCCATCGGGGTCCGCTCCATCGGGATCCGATCCTGCGGGATCCGCTCCATCGGGGTCCGCTCCATCGGGGTCCGCTCCATCGGAGTCCGCTCCATCGGAGTCCGCTCCATCGGGGTCCGCTCCATCGGGGTCCGCTCCATTGGGATCCGATCCTGCGGGATCCGCTCCATCGGGGTCCGCTCCATCGGGGTCCGCTCCATCGGGATCTGCTTCATCGGAATCGGCTCCATCGGGATCCGCTCCTGCGGGCTCCGCTCCATCGGGGTCCGCTCCTGCGGGATGCGCTCCATCAGGATCCGCTCCCGCAGGATCGGCTCCATCGGGGTCCGCTCCCGCGGGATCCGCTCCATCAGGGTCCGCTCCATCAGAGTCCGCTCTATCGGAATCCGCTCCATCAGGGTCCGGTCCCGCGGAATCCGCTCCATCGGGATCTGCCCCCGTGGGCTCCGCTCCATCGGTATCGGCTCCACAGGGGTCCGGTCCCGCGGGATCCGCTCCATCGGGATCAGCTCCTGCGGGCTCTGCTCCATCGGGATCCGTTCCATCGGGGTGCGGTCCCGCGGGATCCGCTCCTGCGGGCTCCGCTCCATCGGGATCGGCTCCATCGGGGTCCGGTCCCGCGGGATCCGCTCCATCGGGATCAGCTCCTGCGGGCTCTGCTCCATCGGGATCCGTTCCATCGGGGTGCGGTCCCGCGGGATCCGCTCCTGCGGGCTCCGCTCCATCGGGATCGGCTCCATCGGGGTCCGGTCCCGCGGGATCCGCTCCATCAGAGTCCGCTCCATCAGAGTCCGCTCCATCGGAATCCGCTCCATCGGGGTCCGCTCATGCGCACTCTGCTCCATCGGGGTCCGCACCATCGGGATCCGCTCCTGCCGGCTCCGCTCCATCGGGATCGGCTCCAACGGGCTCCGCTCCATCGGGATCCGCTCCTGCCGGCTCCGCTCCATCGGGATCGGCTCCAACGGGGTCCGCTCCATCAGGATCCGCTCCTGCGGGCTCCGCTCCATCGGGGTCCGCTCCTGCGGGATCTGCTCCATCAGGATCCGCTCCCGCAGGATCGGCTCCTTCAGGATCCGCTCCCGCAGGATCGGCTCCATCGGGGTCTGTTCCCACGGGATCCTCTCCCTCTGGGTCCACTCCATTGGGATCCTCTCCCTCCGGCTGTGACTGGACTGGGGTTGCCCGTGCCAGCCTGCCAAAGCACAGGCACTCCGCTGGGACCATCAGCAACTTAGAGACAAATTCGACCCCTCAGAATATGTCCAAAATATCTGTTGTGTGAGCGAAAGAAATCATCTTTCCCTGTGTCAGACACTCTCTGTGTCTGACACAGGGAAGCTTAAGTCACAGAAGCACAGAAGGTGTTGGTAGGGGACCATAGTGTGTCATCTGGTTCAACCTCCCTGCTTAAGCAGGGTCATCCCAAATCATTTGGCACAAGATTGTGTCTATATGGTTCGTGAATATATCCAGTGAGGGAGACTTCACACTATCTCTGGACAATCTGTTCCAATGCCCAGTCACCCACACAGTAAAGCTCTTTCTCATGTTCAAGTGGAATTTACTGTGCATCAGTTTTTGACAGTTGTCTTGTGTCCTAGCAGCTGGCATCACCAAGAAGAGCCTGGCTCCATGCTCTTGACACCCCTGACTTTGGATATTTATACACATTAATGAAGTCAGTGTAACTTCAGGAAGCATTTGTTCTCTTGATCATGTGTTGACAAAATATTAATTGGAAGGGCAGTGATTTCTGATTCAATTTTTTTGACAGTTACTGTCATAATGTTCCTGTATCTGGCTTACAACACAGATAGAATCATACAATTGTAGAATGTTAAGGGATTAGAATGGACTAAGAGATCATCTAGTCCCAGCCCTTGCTGCCTTGGGCAGGGACATCTTCCACTAGAGCAGATTGTTCCAGGCCTTATCCAACCTGGCTTCAACACTGCCAGGTTTGGGACATGCACTACCTCCCTGGGCAACCTGTTCCAGTGTCTCCCTGCCAGTAGACTAAATAATGTCTTCCTCATATCATACCTAAATTTCCCTCTTCCAGTTTATACCCATTATCCCTCACCCTGTCACTACAGTTCCTGACACTGACTCCCTCTCCAGTTTCCCTGTAGTACCCTTCAGATAGTGGGAGGTTGCACAACCTTTTCTTCTCCATGATGAACACACCCAGCTTCCTCAGTCTGTCATTTTAGGGGTGGTGCTCCAGTCCTCTTACCAACATCATAACCTCCTCTGGCCTTGCTCCAACAGTTCCATGTCTTTCTTACACTGAGGGCATTGGAACAGTGTACAGTACTCCAGGTGGGGGTCTCACATGAGGAGAGAGAGGGACAGTCACCTCCTTTGACCTGCTGGCCATGCATGTAGTTTATTGGTATAGCAGAGAGGGAGGGGAAAATATTTCTGTAAAAAAGGAGAAAGTGACACTGACAGCCCTCAGGCTGGCGCAGCTGCTACAAGAAGTACTTGTTTATTTCCGTTTACATGTTGCCTATAAATCTGTGTGTATCTTTTATGAAACGTTAGAGGTAATGCCATCCAGGCTTATGTTACAGTCCCACACAAAGGTTAAGACATATTTCAGAAGGAGGCCAAATTCAGAGAAAAATTTAACTCTGAAAGACAGTTGTTTCCTATGTTAATTTAATGGGAGAGATAAATCACATGCTCAGTTACACTTTTCCCCCCATCAATATAATTTGCTAGAGGAAAAAAGCACAAGTAAATTCCTATAGTATGGCAGAGAGCTCCCTTCACCTCATATAGTCAAGTAAAACATGTGCCTAGTTATTCCTATGAAAACTCAGAATATGGTATGGCAGGAGGCTAGACTTTCCTGTATTTAGTCTCTCACAGAAAAACAGCAAGGTTATTTATTTTAAATAATCTCCAGCTGCCATGGGAAAGCTAAAAAATTAAAAACGGTAGCAGTAAGCAAGCCCGTAAATCACAACAGGAGACGATAAAAATGAAATGTCATCATGAAGTGTATGCCATGCTCTCACAGAAACTTGCTGAATTTGTTCCAAAAGTTCTTCTAAAAAGATACTCCCACATTCATTTTCATCACTCTTCTTTCCTTATATGTAATAAAGGAATATTGCGATACTTCTCTTTAACTATGACTAGTGAATGTTGGATGACTGACTAGTTATTTCCTTTTTTTTTTTTTTTTGCATTACCACTGCCTCTTAGCCCTTTGGGGGATTTCTGATGGCACAAACACAAGTAGGACATTGAGATTTAAAATGAAAAGCAAATCCAGTTACTTGCTTGTCTAAAAATAGCAGAATGGGGATTAAGGAATATGAAATATAAGCATAATAGCAATTTTTCAAATGGCCCAAGAAAATTATTTTCTGTGTTCTATCAGAATGAGTAACTGAATGTTACTGCTTTAGGTGCAAAGGAAAATACAGTGAGCCATTAGATCTGTTCTGATGATGAATTCAAAAATTTTTGTGTTATCTATCATTCAGATGCACTATGAAGTGTTCTTGCACTGACAAAGCTATTATTACTTTTCTGCTTTTTTACCCTGTATAAGAAGTCAAGATACCTCCTTTTCCAAAGCAGGTGTTACTCCTCAGAGAGTAGAACAAAACATAAGAGTAGCATACCCTTTGTTATTCATCCATAGTGGCTTGTTGATATGTCACACTGAGGAGAAGAGTTTATTACAGAAATATTGCAGAATAAACCCTTATAGAAATATGAAAATGCAAAAAACTACAAAGGAGTGTCAGGATTTTTCTGCTTCTCTCAATTCTTAAAAAAATTATCAAATTTAATTCCAGTTTCTATATATACTGAGGTTTGGTTCAGAAGTAGTATAAAAATATGTTTTTGAGAATTTATGAAAATATGGGTTCACAATTCTGCACTTCCAACATTAAGAAAGTCATTGCAACAGGATAGTGGGATTTCTCTGACTCTTTCACAATGTTTTTGATTTAAGAAATTAAATAATAAGTAGAACAGATGTTGTTAGAGGAAAAAAAATTGAAATGCAAGTTCTTACAACACTCTGTAAGTATGCACATGAGAAAGGCATTACAGAGCTGACATCTGAACATGAATCACTTCTCAGGAAACCTCTCTAACTAGAAGCTCCCTGCACAAGAGCCCACAGTTGGCAGCAAGCTGAAGGTGAGAGCACACAGTGACTAGGACTTGGTCCAGTTCCATTGAAACCAGCTAAGAGGTTTCCTCAGACTGATGATGACTAGCAATTTTCAAGCTATAGACAGAATTTAGAAAAAACTCCCAGCTTTTCACTTATGAGAATCTAGTATTTTATAACTAGACTATTGTATCAGAAGGATGGTGCCTACTTGGGGTCAGATTGCCACTCCTTTGCAAGGTACAAAAGCCAAAAGGAGCTGGTTTGAGAGGCACATAATGCTACCAGCATCAGTCCACTCCACAACAGCTACCCTGCACATCACATCAATCTGGAAGCTCCCTCAAAGCAGATTTTTAAAGGTCACTGCACATACACTGACTTGGGTAATTTACAGCTAAAATTAACAGTTCTACTAAATGGGTTTATGAAGACTAAAGCCCACAAAGAAAACATTTGTACACGTCACTGTCATTCAAGCCCGTCTGCACTACAGAGTCATGCTGCAGCTGTTCACCTTGTTTGGATGGGGTTGGATTTAAAGCCAAGCCAGGGTCTATAACTCAAATTGACAGTAGCAGCTTAGATAAGCCATCTGCCCGCTCTGACTACCTAGGAAGACCAAAGAGCAATTCTCCTTTTCAGACAATCAAACTGGAGACATGTTTATTTCCATAACATGTGAGAGAAGACAGTCTTTAAAAATATGTAGTTGCCATCCCCAGAAGAAAGGCAGTTTTTCATGAGAGAGGCTCCTTGGGTGCACCAAGTCACCTGCAAGGCAGGAGGGTTTGAAGTGGCCCACCCTTACTTCACATGTATATTGACAAACGCATCTTCTGCTACAAGACCTCCAGTACCATGGCAAGACACACTGCTTTCAGTTTCTCAAGCTGATTTGCTGCCATGATAATTTAATTAAACGGGGTCACGAAGAGATGCTGCTGGTAGTGTTCACACTGTTAAACACAAACATCCCAAGATAAGAGGCGCAGCTGCTTTCCAAGGAACAGCTAATAGTCTGTAAAATAAGGAACATACCTACAACTAATAAATATGTGGTGCTATGCCACTTTTTTGTTGCTCTGACAGCTGTATCTAATAATCACAGCTGTGCAAGGTATTCAAACAGAATCTGAGTATGCAGAGAATAGACATTGTTCCCTATCTAAAGGAAGCACAGAGCTGCTCAAAGATGAACAGAGTGGAGGGTTGGACTGCCAGAGCAGAACAGTAGTAAGTAATATGACAAGAATAGTATAAAGAGGCAGGTTTGCAAATACAGGGCCAAGATACTTGAAATTATATTAATATTAATTATAGAGTAAGCAATATCATGAAGGTAAAATCTTGCAATACTTGAAGGTAAAACATTTTGTATGGATACAGTGGGCCTTTCCTTAACACAAAAGTACTTCAGTCCTTTAATAATCTTTGTTGTCTTGCCCTGGACTCACTCCAGTATGACCATGTCTTTCTTGTTCTGTGGGCCCAAAACTGGATTCAGTGTTCCAGATGTGCTGAATGCAGAGGAAGGATAACTTTCTTTCACATGCTGGCAGTGGTCTTCCTAGTGCAGCCCAGGATGCTGTTGGCCTTTTTCATTGTAAGGGCATATTGGTATATAACAAGCTTCTTGCTCCCAAAGACCCCAAGGCCCTTCCTTGCCAAGTTATTCTCCAGACCCCAGAACGTACTGATGGCTGGAATTATCTTATCCCATTGTAAGACTTCATGTTTCCCATTGTTGAGCTCTATGAGATTCCCCTCTGCCCAATTCTCCAGCTTACTAAAGTCCCTCTCAGTGGTAGCACAACCCTCTGATGTAACAGTCACTCCTCCTGGGTTTGTATAATATGTGAACTTGCTGTAGCAGCACTCTGCTCCACCATCCAGGTTGTTAATGAAGAACCTCAACAGTACTGGCTCCACTCTCATTCCCTGAAGTATAATGCTAGTGAATTTGCTTCCACCTTGATTTTGTGCTACATATCACAA